TATATTTTTCATTGATTTTTATTGAAGTGCTTTTGGACTATTAAATACTTATTTTTTATATTTTTTTTATTTTTAAATTATTTTTAGGAAAAAGCTTATATAAGTGTGAGGCTCTAAACAATGAAATTAGGGCACAACTCAAAAATTCATTAAAAAAATTGTTTTGATGCTGAAAAACCCTCAATTCAATCACCTCAACCTCAAAATGTATGAACATGAGAGAAAAAAAGGTTTAAGTATTGAAAATAGTACATCTTGTAATGTATTATCTAGACCGTCAATTTTCAAGATTTTTAAAGATTTTTAAGTGTTTATAGATATGTTCGATTTACCTAATTTTTTAATTTTTAATTTTTAATTTTTTATTTAAGATAAAAATAAATTTTCAAACCATCATAAAGTTTTCTAATATTAAAACAACATTATTTAAAATTGTGCCGTATTTTGATTATTTAGAGCGTCGGCCTATTCAAAACACATTCTTATTTTTAAAATACCCCATAACAAGTTGATTTTTTTAAAAAATCATTTTCATTCCAAGTTTACTTTAAACGTATTTTTTTATTTTCTGAGATTTTTTTTAGATTTTTTATTTTTTTAACCAAGCAGAGTCCAAAGTGACTCGGGCCTTTCCCCGTGACCGAGTCGTAGTTTTCTTCATTGATATTGTAGAGTAAATGAGTGAATATGATGTTATTAATAATTGTAAAAGGTGGGGAGAAGAAAAGGGGAGGCGGGTTGTACGATTACGAGGGATTTGTGGGAGTATCAAAGACGGTAATGCAGGGGAGGTCTCGAAAACAACAACAAGAGGTGGTGAGGGAGGTACTCTTGTCCATGCTACCACCAGGGGCGCCCGCTAAGGTCCTTTTTCATCTCCCATCCACACTTTTTTTTGCACACGCCTATGCAACTTTGAGTGTGTGAATTTCATTTGGGAGAAGTATACAATAAGATTATTTATTTTTAACATAATAAAGTCACAATCACTGATTGTTAGATGTAGAACTTGAATGGTCACGGGTGTGTGATTGAGTGGGCACAAAGTGAAAAAAATTTCTCGAGTTGTGTGATACACCTTAAGCTCTAAGATTTTAAATCAAATTACAATTTTTCATCTCCCACCCACACTTTATTTTTTTGCGCATGCCTATGCAACTTTAAGTGTGTAAATTTTGTTTGGGAGAAGTATATAATAAGATTATTTATTTTTAACATAACGAAGTCATAATCATTTATTGTTGGATGTGGAACTTGAATGGTCAGGAGCATGTAGTTGAGTGGGCACAAAAATCAAAATAAAATTTCTAGAGTTGTGGGATACATCTCAAGCTATAAGATTTTACATCAAATTACTAAAGATAAATGGTCTACAATCCCAATGTAGTAAATTTAAGCTTATTCTTGTCCTCCCTCTCTCTCTGTTTTTTTCGTTAATTACTTTGTCCAAATTGCAGTTCAGGAAGTTGTTCCCCCCCACCAAGTGGGCGGCGGAGTTCAATGCTGCTTTGACGGTGCCCTTCTTCCACTGGCTAGTCGGCCCTTCTCAAGTAAGTTATGCACCACTCTATAGTGGGCATCTGGACGCATCAAAATTTGGGTCTACGTATATCATCTCTACTACCACCATCGTGAATCTAAATTAAAATAAAAAATAAAAAATTCGAACTTAAATAAAATTGAACCAGAAATATTTTGTTGTACTGCATTTCAATTCTTCAAAGATCACCAGGTCTACATTACTTATGGAGCTTGAAATTCATGGATCAAAGACTGAAGTGGAATTGCACTCATGTATGATGTGTTTAGGTTCCTAAAACCCTCGAAAACCAGACGGGATACATGATTAGGTGGACCCACTAAAACCATTTTGCCCCAATAATTATTTTCATATCTCTTCATTTGAAGTGTTTTCTCAATTACTTTATTGTTGAAATTTAAGAAAATGAAGAATTTGGGGATGCATTTTGGAAGTTATGTGAGGGGATGCATTTACTCTATTGAGCAAGCTTTGGACCTTATTTGTTTCAAGGCATGTCACACTTCTGACGTTATTCAATTTAGCAGACAACTATAGGGAACATGCATTTTATTTCCTTGAAAACAAAAAGGAAGCTGTTACAAAATATCCTTGTATGTTAGATTGGAATTATGCGTAGGGATAGTACCCCAACAACCCTCTTAAGCATTTTCTTTTCCTGCAGATGCTGAATATATGCAGTCCACATTTTGAAGAATTTGTTTCTAGGACCCACGGGAACTTTCAGTTCTGAAATCTTATGCTGTGTACAATTTTATATTTCTTTGATAAGTAGCACAATTGTCTAGAAGTTAAAAAAGATCGATGGGCTTTGGGTTTCATTTGTTTTCAGTGGAATGGTGTAAAATACTTATTGCAGTTAATGACCAATTTCATCTGTTGCTTGCTGAGGGCATACTAGGTTGTTGAAGTGGAGGTAAATGGAGTAAAGCAAAAGAGTGGAGTCCACATTACGAAGTGCAGGTATGACTGTAGTCTCTTTACCACACATGGTCCCTAGTGGTTTTTCTCATAGTTTACATGACTTGGCATTGGATATGGGAATTAGATACAAGATCTTAGGTATGAATAACTCCCCAGGAGTAATAGGAGAATCCGTTTCATTCATACTTGATAAATATTAAGTATCTGGATATGAGCATTGAGTGGATGTAACAATTCGCATGACGGAAGCCTTTGGTTTAGGCTAAGTGAAACCATAAAGAAATCAACCAAATTTGATTGGAAGTTCTGCAGATTTGCCTATTTGTGAAGAACATAGATGCTTCCATCGGGATTTCATTGAGTATAGAGAAAAGTAACTGATTATCATATTGAATCTGATCCAAGTTTCTTTGTCAAGTTCTCTGTTTTTCTCATTCACCTAATCAACCAAACCAAAGGGAGAGGAAACATGTTGGTCACAATAAGTGTTATCAAATTGATTACATTTCCATACATGAAAATTTATGTATAACAGTGCATATTTGGAAATCTATTTTGATGCTGACTTTCAAACATGTATTTTTCACCATATATCTAGGTACTTAGAGAATAGCGGATGCGTTGGAATGTGTGTAAATATGTGCAAGATTCCCACTCAAGATTTCTTCACAAATGAATTTGGGCTTCCTTTGACTATGACACCAAGTATGTAAGTGTCTCCTTTATTGGTTGCACTGTATACAGATTCTATTTAATATTTATCATTGTTAAGTAATTTAAACCTGAGAAGATTTTTGTTATTCTTGTGTGCAATGCTGAAGCCCTAAGTTTTTGGAATGAGCAATTGACATCCATGTTACTTTTTTACTTTTTTCAATACAACATGGTTGGAATATCCATTTCTTCTCCATAATTTTCTTGATATCCCATTCTTCAAAGGATTGGAACCAATATCTAGAGCTGCCAATGACAATAATCAACCTTAGCCTTTTTTAGCCTACTCCTGCATCCACATTTGGAAATGAAAACTCCAAGCTGGATTTCACTTTGCACAATATCAGCAACTTTTACCTCCTCCTAGGATTATTGAGACTACCACTATATCCGTCTTTTGATAATTTTAACTCCTAGTTGAAATTCATTGCCCTGAACTTTTTATTGCATTCTGGGTGAAAAAATCAGGAGCTAGAGATAGTATGAAAGCTACTATTTGTTAAAATGTGACTATGCTGCCAATTCCTTCCCAGAAATTGGTATGTTTTTTCAACAGATTTAGTTTGCCAGATACAAGTTGCAATATTGGTGTATTATGGGCTCTTGTAAAATGGTCTTGGGGGTTAACTCAAAACAACTTCTTTTCCTTAACTGTCTCTCAATATCCACACTGGGTGAGTCATAATTCCCAGCACCAGATTAAACTGTATAAATTTTGTGTGTAGTTTATACATACCCTTAACTGACTGAACCATATAAAAATATGAGAAAATTATATTGTGAAGCTTAAAAAAAATATGAGAAATTTCATGGCTCAACATATAAAACTGTGTTGTGTTTCTCAGAGCTGATTTGTATTTTTGTGTGTTATTGAATCAAATTGAAATTTGACTACAAATTAGACTACTGGAACAACAGCAACAAGAAAGAACTATTCAATTAAACAAAAATTACAAAAGCTTCAGTTCATTCCCAGGCTTTTATATCCTAAGCCCTCGTACTTTCCTTAGCTTGTATGATGCTGGTGGGATGCCCGTAATTGGGATGCCCCAAATCACCACTAAAATGGCAATTAGAGTAGGGAATCTCCCATGCAGGGCTTATAATTTTTTCTTGACCTTTTTTACAGTCTAAGGGTGGGAGTGTGTGCCTACATTACTCTAGGCCAATGTAACCCTGTTCTTCTCACAATGCCTTCATTTGGATGAACTACTGTTCCTAATTTTCTTTGGTGAGACACACTTGTGGGTGAAACAAGGTGCTTGTGGAGGCCATCTATCTTTACAGTAGCTCACCTTATACCAATTGATGGAAGTGTACTGTGAAAATGGGTGTAAGAGGAAAAATAAGGCGGTACTGCACATTGGAGTAATCTGGAATTTCTTCAAACAAGATGCAGTCTTTTTACGGAATGTCACACAAGTCCCTCACAGCTTTAACATATTTACTCTACACTCTATACTCATACATGTATATGACCTTTCTACACATTTATAGCAACCTCTTTCTCTAGAATTCCCACATTGGTCTCTCTCTGCAACATCTAGAATTCTCTTGATTAAATCTACTTCAACATCTCTCTAATTTTTTCTACATGGAGGTTTTAAACACATTTTGTCAATTCATCAAATAACTCATCATGCACATATGCACATTGGTTATACTTTTACTCTTTCAGACATGCTTCAATGAATCATGCAAAAACAACCCAAAATGAGGTTTTGCATCTCAAAAAATTGTACTTAGTGAAAATGAAAATAAAGTATGTTTATTGATCATTAAAGGATTAAGTAGAAGTCCTACGATATAAATTGGATTTTTCTTGTGCAGATTTTGAAGACATGAGTTGTGATATGGTATATGGTCAGGCACCACCTCCATTTGAGGAGGATCCAGTGTCCACTCAGCCATGTTATGCAAACATATGTATGTTTACTAATGCAATTCTATATAATTTGTGGGAATTTGCAAGAACACATTCTCATATCTTTTATAGCAGGTTCAATTGCAAATCCAAGTTCACCTACATGTCCTAAGCTACAAACCTGAGAAGATAATTGAACTCTCTCTGGTCTAAACAAGGATGGCATTCTGAGAGAGAATGGTAAGGAGAATCACCTCATTCCAATTTGTAGTTTGTCTTTGATATCGTATTAATGACCTCTTGTTTTCATATCTTATTATTATGGCATTTGTGGAATGTGATATTAAGAGCTCTATGAGGTATCATTGGATTGGGAGCTGCACCTGTCTTTATTAAATTCTATAAAAGTTCCATTAAGTATACTGGTTTCTTCTATTTTTAACAAATTGGAATTCATCCTGAGCCTTCTTTGAGTGTATTTAATAAGCTATGAGCAAGGAGAAGTTCCCGCAACTTTCTTAGCATATGCCACATGTGTAAAGCTGTCACAGTTTCAACTTTTCAAATTTACCGTATTTTACTGTGGAAAAGTATACAAAGAGACCATTTACTTTTACTACAAGGAAGTTACAAACACTCTTGTCCATCAGAGTAGACTCAATTTTCAAAAAACATATCTTGAACTTCATGACACACCCTAAACCACCTATTTGACATCTTATGGCTAAGAATAATTATGAAATGCTTATAACAATGGTAAATGGTATCATAGTATTCAATCCTTTCTATAAAGTGGAAGGAGAAAGTCAAGCATGTTCTTTTTTTCTTTAGGTGATTGTAAAAATTGAGCACGTCGTATGGTGCTTTTTAGTATTATTATATATAAAATGGAACTTTGAGATTATGGAAATTTATTTTTTAAGGAAATGAGTTTTTTTTTTTTTCTTTGAAGGTTAGGGAAAAGGGAAATAAGGTTTTTATTGTCATGTATCCTCTGGACATTTGTACCCAGACCTTTTAGGAGGATTTATATAGATCCAAATTCTTTCTAGACTGTGCTCATGATGGATTACTGAATAAATGAGGAAATTGTGCAGGTCAATTGTTGTCCCTATCTGTGATGCATGATGCATGAGGAATGAATTCCAAAGAAGCCGGAAGTATCTAAAAATAAGACCTGCTTACAGAACAACAATCTACTGGTCATTCATTAATAGGAAGGCCTTGTGGTTTCCTCATTACCCACTCCATTACTACTATCTTCTATTCCGTTCATATTTGCAATGGAAAAATGTTAATTTTATGTACCATACAATTTTTCATAGTTGAAAACTGTAAACCAAGTTTCAAACTTTACACTTTTCTTGTCACAAGTAATAAATTTTAAAAAGTTAAACTAATTCTATATCGAGGTATATGGTGATTTGATTTTAGGCATAAATTGTATTATTCGTAGATTTATGATGTTTGAACCACATTTTACACCATATATCATATTATTTTTTCTTCTAATATTGATTTAGAGGTTATTTAGTCAATGAATGTTCAATGTGGGTGATGTTTCTATTAAGGAATTGTATACAATGAGACCATTTACCTTTTATACATGGAAGTCACAATTACTTAAAACCATCCGATATGAAATCTGATAACTTTGATATGTCACAGAGTTCGAGAAAATTTCTTTTGTACTTTGAGCTTGGTTAATGCAATAAATGTAGCCACCAAATTTCACATCCAATGGTCAAGATTAATTGTGACCACCTTGTACCAAAGATAAATGGTCTCATTGTATACTTTTCCTTATATTAAAGACTTCTCCTTATTCTGATCTCTAGCCTGGGGAAAATCTTCTTCTTCTGTTTGATTTGAAATAATTTTTTTATGTAACCTTGGAAAAATGTCGTTTATGTTAGAGTGTATGGCCTTTAATGGCCTTAAGTGCATGCAAACATAGGACTATAGTGATATTGTAGTCAAGCAGGAATGTGATCCGTGTTAGACCACAAAGGCATACTTCATAATGCTCGTTGACTCACTGGGGTTGGTGGTCAGGGCCTAAGAATAGAGTACTGAACCTTTTAGCCCTAGGCATAAAGCACAACTATATAGAATATGTAGACTTAACTCTTGTTGAAGTCAAAAAGATACTCAATAGTGGCTAGGGAGTCGGTCTCTTATATACCTTTTGTGGCCTGTAAAGCTAAATGCAAAATGCACAACTTCACCACTGCATGGCATGTATATGTGGTAGTCGCATCGATGGAAAATGACCCATTGGGGTAAAACATGTATACGTGCTAAAGAGAGACCCCCGGTACTATTGTGATAGTGTGCACATGCCCATGTGGGACATGATTTTTCCTTCAAAGAACATGTAATTAACATACAAGGTTTGTATGCTCTCTATTTATTGGCTAGTTTTGATGAATGAAGCATTAGCCCTGCACTAGACTATGAATCATGGGTTTTGTTGGTTTAATTTAAAAAGATGGAATATGGACCATGAGAATTAGTATAGGTAGAGTGCCTTAGTAATTTGTATATTCTTAACCACGTGGATCTATTTCCCTTTAATTTATGTTTATCTATGTTTGGATGCAATTTCTAAAAGGCTTGGGCTTTATGAAAATAAAGTAAAGTGTCACCCTGAGTCCTCGTTCAAAGAGCATTTTGGGCATCAAAAATCTCCATGATGGCTAAAAAATAATTTTTTTACACCGACTAAGAAATTTAAAGCTCCAAATCTGGCATAGAACTTAGGGATCGGTGAACACTTATTTTTAGGAAAACAATAGATGGTCGATTATTTTTTTAGGTAAGTAAAATGGATAGTCCAAATAATATGTTATAATATGCACTATTTTTAGGGATTG